AGAAATCATTGTGACAGGCTGTTTTGTGCTGTTGAATTGAGAAAACACTGTCTTAAACAGTCCTAGTCTGAATCCTTACTCTGCCAATAACCAGTTCTGTGATGGGAGATAAAACATTCAACTTCTCTGAGCCTCTGCTTCTTTATCTATTCTACAAGAAGATAACACTACAATTTTGGAGTATAAGTATGCGGATTAGAAATAACTCTATTAAAGAACCTGGCACATCCTATGTGTTCAAATATTTAGGTCTGACGAGAGACTGTTTGCAAACATTAAGTACAGTGTAACCCACTTGTTACTATTTAATGCTGCTCTGCTTGTGCATCCTTGTACTCAAGGTTGACTGTCCATTTGCTTGCACATCTGCATATTCCTCATAATTAATATCTCTTTAAATGACATATGGATTAGTGACTGGATATCGAGTCTTGCCTTCTGTTTTCAATTTGCTCATGACTCAACGTCTCAATAGATGTGTCTGAACTTTAATTTTCCATTCTGAACATTGGAATTTAAAACTCGTGCTTCTATCCAGCTATTTCAGAAAATGATGGAGAGATATGTAATCTAAGGATTTGGAACACATGCCAGGCCAATTCCGCCTCGCTGCAGGGATGCATACAGGAAAGGGCCATGGTTTTTCTTATGTGAACAGAGAAACCTAAACGAGGATTCCAACCATCTAATCTCTGAAGCGAGGGAATAATGTGAAGTGGGCTCGAGTCAGATGGCTCGTGAACCCAATAAGAACCACCCCATCTGAAGGAGTGGGCACAGGAAGTGCTGGTGGGAGCCCCAGGCGCTGGAATGAGACTAGAGAACAGGACTGGCCGGGATGAGCTAGGTGGCAGTCTTCATGGTAGTACCTCTGGGAGCCTTGGTCCTCAGAAAGGCACGGTCTGGTGCCCCCCGGGAAGTTTCTAACTTTTGAATCTGAAGCACTTATATTTATTTTGTGCTGTGTACACATTTTTTTAAGTATTTTTTTTCCTTCTATCTAGGAGTGAA